AGCTACTCCACCGATTTCTCCTCTTCCTCCGTCTTGGGTGCCTTGGGTAAGGGGGTATTTAGAATAGAGGGGCTAAGCTCCTAGGGACTTATGGTTTTGAGAGAGGGGCTAAAGTTTAGCCCCTGTCTCCCAAATACCCCCTAAGTCTACCTCTACCTCAGCAATCAAATCACAGAAAGATACTCCGATCCTTGCAAATGAGTGTTTGATTAGTTCGGATCTATCAATCCTTGCAAAATGAGTGTTTATTGTCTCTTGCTCTTTTTAAGGGTAAAGACGCGTTTTTTTTTCGTAGAATCTTACTGGTAACTTCTGAAAAAAATACATTTGTCGCAAATCGATTTCCAGAAGATTGGGAGTCCGGCTCTAATCCTGACACTACCAATTTTCCGCAAAATTTTTTAATGATTAGTACATTTATTATTATTAGATGATAAAACATGAATAATATTTTATAAGTGACTAACTTTTTTTAATTTTTTCATAAATTTTTCAAATAAGACGGATGGTCAAACGTTGGATATGACAGAGGTAGTATTTAGCAGGCAGCTCCTGTGTTGTGCGGGAACTGGGGACTCTTTGCGATGTCTGTGTTGCCTGGAAAGTGTGTTATTGCCTTATTGGCCCATTCGCCCAAGGTCTAGCAGTCTGAGCTGATTTTTTTTTGTGTGGAATAAGTTCACTTTGACTCCCTTAACTGGCGTCCGAATCTGATTTGTATCCTTGAACTGCAATACCGGATATCGCGGCCCATAAAACCGGTGTAATTTGACTCCCTCGGTGGTTTTGGATGGTGGTTTCGTTGACGTGGCGTCCACATGGCAGTGTTGACCTGGTCTATAACGTTGATGTGGCGCTTAGGCGGCATTAGAGTTAAAAACATGTATGTAGGACTCATTTGTCATTCACACAAAAAAAATTATGGAGCCCGCTGACATGTGGGCCCCACATGTCAGCCTCCATCTATTTCTTCTTCCTTCCTCTCTTTCTCTTTCTCGGTAGAGAGTGACACGCCGTCGTCGCACTTGACGGTAGCGGTGGGGGATGAATGAGATGAGTGGCGGAAGAGGAGGCGAAGTCGGAAGGGGAGGCAGAGTGAGGTGGAGGAGGGCGCGGGTGGTGGGGATGGGCGACGGGAAGATGGGAGTGGGCCGTGGAGGTGCGGGCGTCGTCGACGTCGACGCCAAGCCACTGCCGCATGCTCCGAGGCAGGAGAAGCCGGTGTGCCGGAACTCCACGACAGTCGGAGCGGCGGCAGCAGCATCGGGCGGTGGGCACAACGGTGGGGATCAGCGGTGGGGGACGGATGAGATGAGCGGCGGCGGTGGCATCTGGTAGTGGGGACAACGGTGGGGATCAGCGGCGGGGGATGGATGAGATGAGCGGTGGCGGAGGAGGTGGAGTCAGAGGGGGAGGCATAGTGAGGTGGAGGAGGGCGCGGGTGGTGGGGTTGGGCGAATTGGCGGTGAAGGTGTGGGCATCATCAACGCCGAAGCCAAGTTGCTACCACATGCTCTGAGGCGGTAGAAGCTGGTGCACCGAAACTCCGCGACGGCCGGAGCGATGGCAGCGACATCCAAGTGGTAGGGGCGTGGCTCCGCCTGCACGACGACGCGCCACTGCTTGTTGACACAGGGCGCCATCGCCTGTCCTCTCACCTGACGCCGCCCTTCAATGGCCGAGGGGGAAGAGTGCGCTGATAGAAAGAGAGAGAGAGGGAGGAGGAGGAATAAGGGAAGGGAACAGAGAGAGGCTAACATGTGGGCCCACATGTTAGTGGGGCCCACCTTTTTTTTTGTGTTAATGCAATTGGGTCGCACACATATTTTTAAAACTATAATGCCACGTAAGCGCCATGTCAACCTCACGTGAAAGTAAGATTGGGTCAATACCGCCACCGTAGGCGTCACGCCAGCGAAACCGCTCTTCAAAACCAATCAGAAAGTTAAATTGTACCAGTTTTAATAGTTGGGGTCGAGATATCCGGTATTGTGGTTTAGGAATATGAGTTAGATTCGGCCTCTAGTTAAGGGAGTTAAAGTGAACTTATTCCTTTCTGTGTTGCTCGGCGTTCTTCGGGCTGGTCCACAAACTTTAACACAAAGTCCGGTCCATCAACTTTAAGGCCCAATTAGGCCCATGAATTGTACTAGACCGCGGGATTGAAGGAACACGAGCATATGTTTCAACTATCTGAACACGTGTTCTTTCGAGAAATCGAGATTGGACATGTTCCCCTTGTCTTTCTGAGACTGGAGTTTGGCATTTGGATCCAGTTGATGATCCATTGATCTGACAGAAAACAGAGCCATCAAGTCATCAACCCAGAGAGATTTTTAAGACGAAAGCTGTCATTAAGCTCCAACTAAGAACGTCCCCCCAAGCACAATCACTGTCATCTATGCTGATTCCCCACGTGTGCGCCACGGCCATCTGTCGGCCTTGGAGCCAGCGGCGTCCGCGCCACATGCCGCGGTGGAAGGCTGGAAGCACCTCTTCCCCCACGCCCCCACGCTCGGGGTGCTCGGGACACCACCACCACCCCCACACACACCCCACCCCCCCGCGCGCGCGGCCCACCTCCCCCGCACAAGATACCGGCACGTCATGTGCCCGCGTGCCAATGCACCGCGGCGCCGGGCCGGCTCGTGTCGCTGCAGCCTGCTGTAAACTTCGCCCGCAACGTCGCGCCTCGCTGCCTCGCACGCCTCTTTCGAGAAATCGTGCCGTGCCACGCCCCGCGGCCCGTACGCGGCGCGCGTCCGCTTCCCTTCGCTTTGCATTATTCCGTTGCAGGCTTGCAGCGCACCGCGGCGTGATGCTCGTGTGGGCTCGCCTGAAGACGGAAGGGGAAAGGAGGATTTGGGATCGGGAAAGTCGTTTTTTTCGCTGCCTGATGATGCCCGCGAACGCGAGCGACCTCCCACCGGACGGCACATTGACTCCTCGACCTACCAAACAAGTCGGATAGAGTAATCAATTTGTGCTTGTCGTAGGCCCTGTCCATGGGGCGGGCGGCGGCCGGTAGGCCAAGCTGAGGTTTTATGGTGTTTGCACACTGCCACTGTTCATACCGGTTGCGGTGGCATCTATGGGCCAGCTCATGCCAACTCTCGAGTAACACCGTATTTATGGAGATTAAGGGTGGTGGGTTGGGAGTACCGAATACCAACCGTTTTGATGTTTCCGTTATCAAGGAGGGATGCAAGTGCCCATTCACACCATCATATATGTGCTTTCGCTTATTTTGGTCCGTGCTTATGGCTGTGTTTGGAGGTGGGTGTTTGGGAACCCATCTCCTATCCACGAAAAAAGCGGTCAATTAACACGTGATTAATTAAGTACTAGCTTTTTTTTTCAAAAATAGATCAATATGATTTTTTAAAACAACTTTTGTATAGAAACTTTTTTCAAAAAACACACCATTTAGCAGTTTGAAAAGCATGCACGCGGAAAACGAGAGGAGAGTATTGGGAACTTGCTCTTGCAAACACACCTTATACCAAGGTGAGTTTGAGGAGAAAGTGATTGAGGAGATTGGGAATATACGCAAAACGAGGTGAGTCATTAGCTCATGATTAATTGCGTATTAACTATTTTAAATTTCAAAAATAGATTAATATGGTTTTTTTAAACCAACTTTCCTATAGAAATTTTTTTTGCAAAAAACGGAAGCGCGCGCGCGGAAAACGAGATGTTTTTCTCTCTCAATCTCCCGGATCTCCCAGGAACGAATGAAGTCCAAGTTACCCTACTGTAAAATTACTACTCATCATTATTTTTATTTCTACTAGGTGTATGCTTTGAGTGTACTCATGCAAGTATTTTAAGATGGTCTGAGCATATGTCTAGATTGTTTACAAAACACATCATCTTGTATTTACTCATGCATGAAAGATATATTTTTCTTTTCTCTTCTAACATGTTTTTGTCTTTTTTGGGACTATAAATATAAATATGAGAAGCAACCATTAGATCCTGCTATAATAGTATGGTGGGCTTTTGTATAAACTATACGTAAGGTTGTTCGAGGGTATATGCGAGATTATGATATGTATGAGAAGTTTTTCTTTTCAAAGTAGCCTAACACATATCAATTTCCCCCGAGAGAAAAAGAGAGGAAGAAACCGATGTAGGAAGGACTACTTTGATGATTGCTAGCCGACTCTCTAGGTTAACGGTTGTGTCCTCCAACTATTGAAGTATGGTTTTATCTTCACCACTTCGTGCCATGCATATTTATTTGGTAGTGAATCGTACTCCCAACTCTCCACCCCTCCCCCCCCCAAAAAAAAACGCCCTAAATCTCTTGTAAAGATGGGTATTGGGTAAGCTTCTTTTCAACATATTCTCTATTTGTCATATCCCATATACTCAATGTGATACTAATGGTTTACATCTACCACATACCTCCTGACTCTTGCCAATCATCTTATAGCTGTTTAGATGGGACTAAAACTTTTAAGTCCCTATCACATCAGATGTTTGGATACTAATTATAAATATTAAGTGTAGACTATTAATAAAACCCATCCATAATCTTGGACTAATTCGCGAGACGAATCTATTGAACCTAATTAATCCATGATTATCCTATGTGATGCTACAGTAAATATTTTCTAATTATGGATTAATTAGGCTTAAAAAATTTATCTCGCAATTTAGCTTTTATTTATATAATTAGTTTTGTAAGTAGTTTATATTTAATACTTTAAATTAGTGTCTAAATACATAGGCTAAAGTTAAGTTTCTGTATTCAAACACCACCTTACAACTGTTGGAGTGCTGGTGAGGCTGCTAACTTTCTTCTCAAAGCCATAGCGAGTATTCATTGCAAAACCTATATATATTGCAAAATGGCCTGTGTACCAAAAATTCCATTCTACTACGAACTACTAGTAGTATCAAAATGTAGAAAAAAAGAGAAAGGTCCAGATTCATGTGGGGACTTTCCTTTATTTCATTCTCAAGGAACGCGAGAGAAGAGAACCTTACTTTAGCCAGCTCTGGTACAAAAGAAAAGAAACGAGAACAAAAGCGAAGCAAAGGGAGGCGAAGGGGGAGAAAGGGAGGCGACAAAAACTCCACTCTCTCACTCCGGCACAGCACTCCCCCCACCCACCTACCCACGCCGCTCCACACCTCTCGTTTTCACTGCTTGCTGCGAGAGAGAGAGAGAGAGAGAGAGAGAGGAAGAGGAAAAAGGAAGGCGACGCGGCTGTCATCTCTCTCGCCCCCGCTCCCTTCCCTTCTCCTGCTCAGAATACCAAGTACTCGGATCCCGAACCCTCTCCCCCCTCTCGTCGTCGACGGCGACACGACGACTCCGCTGCCAGCGCGTCGGCCTGCCCCAGCGGCTCGGAGCAGGGGCGGAGAGACGGGAGGATGGACCCCGAGAAGCGCGGCTACAGGCTCCGTATCCTTTTTTTTTTTTTTTTGCTGCTACTGCGTCGTTGGGTTGCCCTTCTGTTTGCCCGGTTCTTGATCCGATTTGGCTCGGAGGAGGAAGGAATCGTGGTTTGCCGGAGCAATCTGGGTAGGCATTTGCTCGAGCGGTTGAGGGGGAGTATTATTTCCCCTCCCTCAAATTCTAGTCTTGTGTTGTTGTGGGTAGTTTCTTGGAGCGACAGTGGTGGTCTCGAGAAAATTTTCGCCACCTTTTTCTTTCTTGGCAATCTGCGCCAAGGTTGAAGTCGTTTCTGATTTCAAGAAGGAACTGAACTACCACTAAATGTTTCAACAGGTTCAGCAAATAGTTTCCTTTAGTGCCCAGTTTAGGTTAGCAATGCGCCAATTCCGAATCACCAAGTCTAATTTGCTTCCGAAGCAACTATAACTAAATTGTGAAGTTCATCCGGGAAAAAAACAGCTATGTATTGATACGGTTTGATCAGTTATTCACCTTTTTTAGTTGACTACAAATCATAGCTGTGGAAGCTGTTACTGGCTACTTTTTGGAAGCATGCATTGCTCAAGTTTATAACTCCTTAACATGGAAACCCAAATTAGAGGAATTTGTCGCACATGATGCTGAAGTGAGGTCCTTGTCTATCGGCAAGAAGTCAAGCCGTGTGTTTATCACTGGCGGCAGCGACCGCAAGGTTAACCTGTGGGCCATTGGCAAACAGACACCACTTCTGGTTTGTGCCCCTATCACAGTGATGGACACTTCTATTGGTTATGTTGAATTTGACTCATGCCGTGTTTCTGGCTTATTGTTTGTGCAGAGCTTATCAGGCCACACTGGCTCAGTTGAGGCTGTTGAGTTTGATACAGCAGAGGTGCTTGTGCTTGCTGGTTCTTCAAATGGTTCCATCAAGCTCTGGGACTTGGAAGAGGCTAAAGGTGTGGTCAGTGTTCTAAAATCAGCGCTAGGCACCGTGTAGCAACTGCAATTAGGCACTAGGTGGTGCATTAGGTGGCTATTTTAGTGTTATATTATCCAACTTTTATGTAACTAGAAAAAATGCCTGTGTGTTGCAACGAGTGAATGCTATTTTAATTTTATTATTGTTATACGGCTTATTTTTAGTAAATCGTGAGCTGCAATTAGGAGTCTGACTTCCATCGAAAGTTAGCATGCAAGTTTTTTTAAAAGAAATTTCTTATACGACTTCTTTTGTATTTCCAAAAGCAAACAAACTTAAAATCCGACTCATACACGGATATGTATTTCCAAAAGCGAACGAACTTAAAAACCGACTCAAATACATATGACGTACCAAAATACCGGTAAAAAACATCTTCAATTTTTATAATAGTAGAGATATGTTTGCTAATTTCTTGGGTTTTACTAGTTAGTTTGTCCTAGGCACCTGCTAGCTAGGCGTCAGCCCTGCTAACCCTCTAGTGCCTAGCGCCTTGAACCATGGGTGTGGTTGGTGGCTTATTGCTTTATAAGTCCTAGAAATTGTGCTACCTTAATGACTTGCCTTTTGCTTTGTTGTAACTGTCTGTTCATTTCTAAACAATTATAGAAAACATAGCCATTACATTCCGTGATAGTGGTACTATCAATGTACTTGTTAGTTGTTAGTACAAACTTATTTTATATTTTGATACAAATGCTTGGTATCCGCTGTATTAGGTTCTTTTTCTGATTTTCAGTGGCTGCGATTTTAGGAAACTCACAAATCTTCGTCAAAATGTCTATGCTCTACGCTTCTGTATTTGGATAAAAGAAGTGTGCTTGGCTAATGTGGATAACCATTGAAAGCATAACTTAATAGTGTTCCCATAGATCATAACAACTGTGCTTCTTAGTAATTTAGTAAGCTAGATATGTTATTAATGTTTTGTCTTGATATGCAGTTGTGCGGTCTCTTACTGGGCACAGATCAAGTTGCACCTCTGTTGAATTCCATCCATTTGGCGAGTTTTTTGCATCTGGTTCTTCAGATACAGATCTTAAGATCTGGGATATAAAGAAAAAAGGATGCATTCACACATATAAGGGTCACAGAGGAGCAATTAGAACAATCAGATTTACACCTGATGGACGATGGGTTGTCACCGGCGGAGAAGATAATATTGTAAAAGTGTGGGACTTGACAGCTGGAAAGCTTCTACATGACTTCAAGTTCCATAGTGGGCAAATCCGGTGTATTGATTTTCATCCGCAAGAATTTTTGCTTGCAACAGGTACCTACTCGTTTGGCAGTTATTTGTAAAACAGAGACTTTTGGAGACAGCATCTTTATTTTCTTTGCAGTATAATCATTGATAAAGCTAATGCTGAAGTTTGTTATACCAAATTGTTTCTGGTTTAGTATGATACTATGAATTTTTTGAGAATACACAGGATATATGATCTAAATAAATATAATGTGTTATTGCTTTTCTATGTGCAGTAAGTGAAGTTTTAAGAAGTTTAAGGGTATACTCATTGAATTCATTAATATTTTCCAGGCTCAGCTGATCGAACAGTTAAGTTTTGGGATCTTGAAACTTTTGAATTGATTGGTTCTGCTGGACCCGAGGTACTTGCTTTACACATTTTTGTAATACCAGGCTAATTGTTGCGTATGTTTAACACAATATTTTGGTAAACCATAGAGACAAATTATAACAATCATTATTTTGTACGCATGCATTTGATTTCGTTGGTGCCCATGTTTTACATCCATTGTCTCCTTTCTATTTAGCACCACTGTAACTTCACGAAAGATGTGCTAGGGATAAATTTTGTTTCCAATCCTTAAAAATGGTTTATGACCTCCCTTGTCACATTTTTCAATGGGTTGGTTCTTTTAGAGATTTTTAATGGATGCTTTTACATCTAGTTTAAACTTTCTTACCCTGTTCCCTGTTGTTCCTGTATTCAAACATGCATGACGGGTAAATGCATCTTTCTGTTATGATATTCTTTACATTCTTCTCTTCCAGGCTACTGGTGTTCGCTCTACGGTCTTTCACCCAGATGGAAAAACCCTATTCTGTGGGTTAGACCAAAGCCTAAAGGTAAATCTGATTTTGTTATGTGGGTTGTTGATGTACAATATTTTGGTCCCTGTTCAACTATATGAGCACTTTGTTAGGTATTCTCTTGGGAGCCAGTAAGATGTCATGACGTTGTTGACATGGGATGGAGCAATTTGGCTGACCTTAGTATTTATGAAGGAAAACTCTTGGGATGCTCCTACCACGAATGCCGAGTTGGTGTTTGGGTTGCTGATATATCGGTGAGTTTTACTTTTTGTCTCATAGGATGTATTTCTTCTATGGTCTAATCAATATCTTTCATCCAGCTCATTGGGCCCTATGCTCTTGGTGTTTTGCCCAAAGCAAATTTCTTTGCTGAGCTGGTACATTCTTTAGACGACAATCCTTCGAAAACGATTGATACCACTGCCAAGTCCATTCCTGCTCTAGCAACGACACATCCAAAAAATCTGTACAAGGTCAAGGAAACAGGGACTGGTACTGCTTCAAACACCCATTTGTCTCTCATTATGTATAATGTATTGAAGTACCTTTACTTCGATACTTCACACTGATGCTCTCTCTCTCTCTCTCTCTCTCTCTCTTTCTGGTAGTAGCTGAAAGTGGAATTCGTGGCTCAAATTTGACTCCAGCAAGTATGGATAAAACCAAGAGAGATAAGAGTGGTGCAACTCCTCGAAGACCTGATTCTTCTTTCAAATCATCTATTCAGAGCTCTACTCCAATGAGGCGCATGAAAGCTGCTGATAGTCCATACACAAATAGAAAAACAGTGGAGCGCAATTTTGCACAGAGGGATGCCTCGCTAGCATCCCGTACGGGAACAGCTAATAATTCTTCAACTGTTAAAAAAGGCCATCTTGCTGAGTCAGTATCTGTAAAAGATATTTACACTACACCACAGACTGTTTCTGTGCCTGTCGTTATGCCTAGAGACATTTTAGAGGACAAAACAGCAGGCAGCATTAGTGGAGGAATCAGAGGGAGAGCTGCAGTTGCAGATGATTTCCATGCTCCTGTTCATTCAAGGAAACTTTCAGTTAATAGTTTTGTGGGTGATAGTGTTAACTCAACAAAATCCATGCTAACTGATCCTGATGTTTGCTCTGAGGGTTTCTCTGGCTTAAAATTCTCTTTTGGACTAACTCCATATTACAAGAAAGAAGAATATGATAATGTGGATAAAGTTGATAGTATGGATAAAGGTGATAATACACAAATGACAGAAAAATTGGACAGAACAGTGTCGTTGGAGCATCAACTTCAGTCAAATGATAGTAAGTCTTAGAGATCCTTTCCTACATTCTAAGTTTGCACTCTGCAGTTCTGTTCATTTTGGCAAATTGACGATGAAACTCTTTCCTGCTACAGCCTCTGAGCCACCATGTTCTACTACAGAAACAACCAAGGTCAAATATGTCAGAGGAGGTGTGTGTACGTTAAGAGATTGTCTCGGTATCTACTTGTGCTAAAATTAGTTCTTTAATGGTACTTTTAACTCCTTTTGCAGTTGCTGTGCCATTAGGAAAAACAAAGTCTCTTGTTGAGAGATGGGAAAAGAGAGAGGCTACTAATGTTGAGTGCTCACCACCAACTGGTTCTTGTGGTGACCGTGCAGTGAGATCTGATGGTCCTTCCTCCTTTTCAGTATGTACCCATAATTTTAAGCCCAATTAATTTCAAAGCAATTTGACCTTATTATCTGGTTGGTTGGTGCATTCATGAATGCATGAATGTTTAAGAACTGTACTTACTATTTTCCTAAAGTCCTTGGTGATAATCTCAAACATTTTTCTTAAACCAATTTATCTTTCTGGGACATGTCATACATACTCATTCTTGCATATTATACAATGTAAATTTCTGTATTCGTTTTTCCCCTTACTGCGAAGTACATTCTATCTGGAGATAGAAGTAGAAGGGATAAAGTATTGTTAGAAACCAGATTGTCATAAATCATAATGTAATGTTTTGTGGACTTAAGTACTTCTGGGAGATTGGAGTATTTTCAGAAATAAAATCAGAATATGGGCTAGAAAAATATGACTTTACCTTTGCTCCATTTTTATTTGTTCATGCTCTCTAGCATTTACGAATTTTTTCGGTACTCAAATCATTATATTTTGCAATGGTTGTAATGGACAGGCAGAACCAAGTCAGGCATATGAGAAGGACTTGTCAACAATTGATGAGGCGATGATTCCAATCAATTTGATGCAGAACCATGATGAATTTATAAATGCCGTAAAATCTCGGCTGACAAAGTTAGAGGTGTGTCCTGTCTCTGATCTTTTTACTTGCGGACTTCTGTTTGTTACCAGCTCATGTGCACCATAGAATTCCTTCCTTGACCTTTTGTATCCAATAAACAGGGAACCAATCTTGCATGCCATTGCATGATAGATTATACATATGATGAAGCTCTTCTGTGTTCTTTAGGCTATTCAGTACAGGGAAAATGGCTTATCGTTGTTAGTCTATTGAGTACAATTAGACAACTTAGAATTGAACATTACCTTTTTCTTTGATACTTGCGTTAAATGATTTATTGGCATTTTCTTAAAGACAATTGGTGTGGACACACCTATAAATTGAAGGTGAAGTCAGCTCTAGTGAAGATTGTTGATCAATCCCGCAACACCCTAAAATTAATCAGCTAGCTTTGAATCCATTATTTCTGATAGCCTGATATAAGATGAGAGTGATCTACACTTGTATGTAAATTATGCATTGGCATGCACTTTTCCCACCATCTACTAATTATCCTACAAGTGGAGAGTGGGGAATAGTCAGTGAGGAAAGCATTTGAAAACTAGTAAAAGTTGCATATATCATAGCCATCACTCCATCAGCATATGATATTAATGTTAACTGTCTTCAGATGATGCGTCATGTCTTTGACCAAAATGGTATCAAAGGAGCGATTGCTGCAGTGGCAAAGTTGCCTGACAATGCTGTAAGTATTCTCAAGATGCCGTGCGATATTCTTGGATGTACATGTACTTCATATTTTTTAGCTGCTAATGGTTTGACCCTTTTTTTTACAGGTTCTAGCTGATGTTGTTAGTACTCTGAAGGGGAAACTTGATCTCTTCAACCTAGACATTTTCTTAAGCTTTCTGCCTGTTCTTGCGGGGTTACTGACCAGCAAGGCTGAAAGGTGATATATTGGATGTCTCTATTCCATTGCATGTTGGTTCTTGTCTGACTGGACCAAGTGATACATAGTAACTTAAGCGCACATGCTCTGTGCACACATGTAGACACAAGATGCTGCTGTTAAATTGAATTGTCTATCCTCTTGTTAGTCTGTTCATTCTATTGCAAGCAAGGTCATGGATCTATTTTCTTTACAAAACCATGGAGATATTGGCATCTTACATTAGAAAATGTTTGGTTTAGTAGTAACTTTGTCTTATGGTTACTTTGCCTTTAATTTCAATTTGTAGGCATGCCATTGTTTCTTTGGAATTGTTGTTGGATCTTATAAAGATCTTTGGACCAGTTATTCGTTCAACATTGTCAGCTCATTCAGCAGTTGGAGTTGATATTCAGGCTGAGCAGAGGTACGTGCATTAATGTTATTCAAGGGAATGCTATTTAAAGGACGCCGCAAAACCTGCAAATTGCAAAGAGACACTGGATGTGAGGTGACAAGTGGGTTCTGTCCCTGCACTTCAGTTAGGAACCATTGTTTTAAAGAACTGCAGTGTTTGTAGCATCCTATAACCTATTGCTCTGCCTATGCCAAGATGAACTGGACTGTTGCTGACTTCGTTGATGTCACAGGTTGCAACGTTGCAGTCGGTGTTTTAACCATTTGCAAAAGATTCAGCAAGTTCTACACCCGTTGATTATGTAATTCCTTTCCTTCCCCTCCCTGTATGAGATGCTTTATCCTTTACTTTATCAGACTATTGTTTTCTTAAGCTTGCTGACAGTTGTTCGTGTGCACCATGTTGTTTATTTTTGTTGCTACCCACGTCATTTGTTGGAGCTACCTTTCCTGACATTCTGTGATGGTTTCATATTTTGCTGGTGCAGGCGGGGTGGTCAATCAGCACAACTTGCCCAAGAACTGAACCTGTCTTTGCAAGACTTGGTGGTGATCTGAAACAAGCGGGGAGGTTCATTCATACTAGTACAACACAGTGAGAGTAGATAACTAGACATCATTCTTTTTGGCAAAAAACGCGCCAGCGCCATACAGTTTTTGTAGCTTGTTGCCATAGCTTTGCAATTGAGCTGTGTAATTGTGTTTTGACTTGGCTTTTGATTCGGCGTAGTCCCCTGTTGTACATGTGAGCTTGGCTGTGCATAATCTGTAATTAACATTTGTTACATGGACAGCCCCGGATGAGGGAGAAGCAAGTTCAAAAATGGTTGATGTCAGTTCAACGTGGTGATTCATTCTCTTCTTTCATGTAATGAAACTGTTGCCCGTGTAATCTGGAATCTGGTGATAATTCAATTCACCATCAACGAAGTGGTTGAAGTTTTGAAGACAGAGTTTGGCACGGTTTGAACGCATTACCCATTCCCCGTTTGACTTCAAATTCAAACCAGCTGGGTGCTGATGACTGTCTTGTCATCATTTGATTATTTCCTAAGCCCTGTTTCCTTCGTTCTTAAGAAAACACTCGTCTGTATTTTTTTTTACCAATTCTGGCTGGCGATGGTTTTGCTCAGTTACTAAGCGGGTACGTCAGGACAAATTTGTGTTCCATTTAGAAACTTCCAATTCTTTAAACTTAGGGTGGTGACAGGTTTGTCAGGTCAATCAAAACCCGCCGATCGTACTAACCGTGAATTAAATCAGATCCCCTTCGCTAATACTACTATCATGAGGGACAAATTTCAGCTCCAAATTAAGAACGTACTTGCAAGTACTAACACAAACGCTGACAATCTTGTTGCATTTGTGCAGTACCACCACCCCGTCCGTTCCTCTTTGCCGGCCGACTAGTCTCAACTCTCAAGTCTCAACCGCCCACCGGTCACCTGGCCCCACCTGTCGGCCGGTGAGCAAGTACGCGAAGAATCCCACAGGTCAGAGATTAGCACCAGCGGAGACAGGAAGTACCACTAAAATAAGCCCCTCCTGAACAAATCCCAAATTCCAAACCCACTAGGTTACGTAAAAGCGGAAGCCCGGAGGCCGGAGCAGTTGGTCGCCACCGTCACGCGCGTTCCCCTTCCCTCGCCGGAGAGAGAAACCACCGACGCGGCCGCTTCCGGAGGAGGAGGAGGAGTTGGGGTGGAGGGGAGCTATGGCGGGGAGGTACGACCGGAACCCCTTCGACGAGGACGACGTCAACCCCTTCGCGGTGAGCTGCTGGGTTAGGCTGTAGCTGGGTCGGGGGGCTAAACCCCCCCTCCGCGTCGCAATCGCGCCTCCTCCTTGCTTCATCTAGGCATGGAGAAGCTTGTCCTCGCGCCTGTGTGGATGGGGTAGTCGAGCTGCGTCCCGGATTGGCATGTGTTGTGCTGGTTTTCTGGCCGTGGCCGCTTCGTCTGGTCCTGCACGCGGCACGCCATGTGGGGTGCTTTGGATCAGCCTGAGTTGTTGGCGCTAGGGTTAGTGATTTAGGATCCGCTGTTAGGGGGTTGGACTTGGATGGCGCGAATACGGCCTTTTTTGCTTGTCTATTTGCTAGCTGATCGCGAGGCGTGGCAACTTTTCCCCTTGTATTGTTATACATTTTCATAGGAGAAATGATGCTCGGATTGAAAATTGGCTCTTAGGTTGTGTTGGGACGTTATGTTTCTGGTTTTACGAGGGAATATGTGGTGCAATCGATATGTATAACTTGTGAAAATGGTCGGTCTACTCTTAGAATTATTGGAAAATATCCGTAAAATGGGGCAGTTCACACTTGTTTGGTTCAGATCGTCTATAACATTAGGAGATTGAAGATTGTCTCTGCCAGTATAAACATTTAGTGTCGTAAGCCTGCAGTCAGTTTACTCTCAGTTTGCTGGATATGCACGTGTCAGCGAGTCCATAATCATGTGAATTGTGCGTATGCGTGCACATGCTCCATCTAGGATTTCTAAACTGTCAAATTTTGAGCTTTCGGCCAATAGGCGTAAAAAGGGATAACAGAGTTGGCTGAATATTCTAATTTTAGCAGCCTCCTTCAACTATCTGTTTGTTTCATTTTTAAATGTACCCTGTTCTGCAGGGTGGAAGTGTACCTCCAGCTTCCAACTCTCGGATGCCACCTCTTCCTCACGAACCTGGGTTCTATAATGATCGTGGTGCCACAGTGGACATACCTCTTGATTCAACCAAGGTACTTGTATTTCCATTGAGCGGTAATACTACGTGCTACTATATTTACAAGTTATGTTCTGTACCTCAGCGTGAGAAAATCATACTGTACTTAGCTCTTTCACTCTGATATTATTACTCTGTTAGTGTGTAACAACAGTTGCATGCTTCATTTTTTGTTATCTTATCTCTTTAAAAGGCTGAAGAACACAATTAATCTAGTAATGATGGTTTCACTATTCCTTGGTTTGGATGTTTGATACCATATATTCTTTTGTTGCTGTATTTGTGGTTGGTTGCTTATGCATTGAGTATGTTCGTATGTAATTCAGGACATGAAGAAAAAGGAGAAAGAACTGCAGGCAAAGGAGGCTGAGCTAAACAAACGGGAAAGCGTATGTGCCTTCTGTAGTTATGCTTGAAACTTGGAATTTTCAATTGATCTTTTCATGAGCAATGTGATTTTTAACCAATGTTTGATGAAGTAAAAAACTATTCTAATGAATCAAGTTGTCAACTTCCCCTGGCCAAAGTCCTAATTCCTAACCTTTTTCCTATGATGTATTGGGAAGCACCTATATATTGTGTTAGTATTGAGTATTGAACTAGTAACCATTATGCAATGTGAAAGATATTTAGCTGGCATGGATTTGACACAAAGATCCGGCACCCAATAGACCTCGCTGATCTAACCATTAATTGAATCATTGACATTGCACAATTGGTTTGAAATGATGAACAAAACATGGATATCTATACACTCAATTATAGCACTTTGAAAAGAAGGATGGCTGTTTTTTTAGATAAACAGAAGGATACCAGCGTGCTAATGCAAACTAACATTATCAAATGATTTCATCTAGATATCTCCTCTTTTCATAAAATATTGCGCACGAGAATTACGTGTATAGAATGCTGAATCTGTGAGTGTGCTGAGTTTTACTCATAGAGTAAAAATTTGATCCAACAAGTTTCACATGATTGGAGGTTAAAACACCCTAGATTTGCGTACAAGCATGCTCTTGTATTTTCTTTAAATACACCACCTGATTTTTTGTGATTCCCTGATACGCAGGAATTGAGAAGAAGAGAAGAAGCTGCATCCAGAGGTATATTTTTTTCTCGCAGCTGAGTACGTGTAATCTTTTTGTTTTTGTGTTTCTAACAAAAAATATTCGAAGATAGGAAACAGTTGTTCATGATATTTGTGTCGATTGGTTAATTAGGAAGTTGACTAGAAAACTATAGCTAATTTTAGATTTAGAGCCTGAGACTTAAGTTACACTTTGCAATATAATGAGATTTGTAGGCAAGTATCCCTTGTTGTACAATTTAGAAATGCTCCTGTTTATGCTATATTATTCCCTCTGTCGCATAAAAAACCAACCTAGTACTGGATGTTTCACATCCTATGATCCTAGTACTACGAATCTGGACATATCTCTATCCAGATTCGTTGTACTAGAATGTGTCACATCCAGTCCTAGATTCGTGTTTTTTGGGACGGAGGGAGTACATTGTGTTCGTCTTTCTTGAAAAGGCTATTCTTGCTAATTTTGTGCTTATGTTTGTTCTGTTGCAATCTATTTTCCATTTTAGTTGTTGCTTCTGCCTTTCAACTCTTTCTTTTATTTTTCAGCTGGGATTGTCATTGAAGAGAAAAACTGGCCACCCTTCTTCCCTATTATTCATCATGACATTTCAAATGAGATACCAATCCACCTACAAAGGATGCAATACCTTGCATTTTCTTCATTGTTGGGTAAGTGTTAGTTTTAGTTTTAAGTTTTAACTCTCTTTTTGTTCCCTCATGTTGGGAAAGCTGTCACAAGAACTAAAATACCTGGTGGAACCACAATTCTTTATATCCTTTTGCTTAAACATTGTGAATAAAATACTGCCTGAATCACTACATTTACTGTCCAATCAATGAATTTCTGCTGAGTCAATGCCAGAAGTGAGTAGTGACATGAGAAAAACGTGCCTACTTTGAGACATTTTGATATCAATGAACTTCTCTAATCTTGACTTATATATCCAATTAAGAGATTCTTTTTTAAAAAAATAGAAGTTGCAACCTGTGTCTTTTGAGAAAAATAGTTATTATCTTCTTGGTGCAGTAATTATGTAAGCCTAATAAGCATAAGCATGTGGTGTCTACCCTGTTTTGTAGCTGGGCTAAATGTCTTTCTGTAAAAAGATTTTCAAAGCAACGCTAACAATACTTGGCATCTTGTAAAAAGAAGCACTATTTAGTGGACTGAATTTTGGTTGTGAGAGCTAGTACCTATTTGCATGTTGGTGTAGCATTGCTCTACAAAGCTGCTTCTTATTGTGCAAACTTTGATGTCATGCAGGATTGGCGGCATGTCTTTTCTGGAACATAATTGCAACTACAGCAGCATGGATTAAAGGGGCAGGTATGGCTGACTGAGTACCTTACTATATATTTATCTTATGGATCAGCTGCCATCTGCACTGACACTTCAAACTAATCCTGCGGTTCAATTCAATAGGTGTTATGATCTGGTTGCTAGCCATTATCTACTTTATATCTGGTGTACCTGGAGCCTATGTGTTATGGTATCGCCCCCTTTACAATGCGATGAGGTTGTGAATATACTTGTGTTTTTGTTATTTCTGCACACTATTTCTTCTTATATTTGACATAGTGTATTGTTACAATGTATGTTGCAGGACTGAGAGTGCTTTGAAGTTTGGATGGTTTTTCCTGTTTTACTTGGTAAGACCCTTACCTTCTGGTAACTGTAAGGTTAAAATGATCTAGTATAAGATTAATGGTTTGCCACACTATTGGTTGCAAAATTGCAGATATTCCGTGCAGTGCTAACAGTGTTTGCCCCCTTTCAGATCCATATACTGTTCTGCATCTGGTCTGCTGTGGCTCCCCCATTTCCTTTCAAAGGAAAGTCTCTGGCGTAAGTGTTCTGTTATTTTATTTAACTAAACATACATTTTATTTAAGCAGCAACATTGGAGCACTGGATAGTGTCTTAGTGGCTATGACTTAAAAGTGCTTTGAGACTTTGTTATTCTTCAGTTTTAGCATATATATTAGTATTTGGCTCATAGAGGTACCTGTGCAACAGTTCTAGGTTGCTTTTACGTGGCATTTGCATAGTTATTAGGTGATGGTGTTAATTGTTAGGGTAATACCTGGATCACTGCTATTGATGCTCTAAATTGTTACAAACTTGTAGCAATTCAACTTGCAGGCTGTCCATTTTCTCTACTTCAATTTATAAATACCACTTCTCTAATTGCCTCTCCCTTTTTTTTTTGCCACAGTGGGATTTTGCCGGCTATTGATGTCATAGGAAACAATGCTATTGTGGGGGTAAGTCTCACTGTTTACTTAATGTTTTTCTTCTAGATTCAAGTTAATTTGAGATATCAGGGTTAGTATCTTGGGAGGACCCTATTTGCATTTTTTTAACAGACCTTTTGCCTCAGTGAGTAAGCACTGCCGCACTGGGACTCTGGGAGTTCGTGATGCTTTGCTTAATTTATTTGATTGGCATGTCTCATACAATTGATTGAGTCATCAACATTGTTCACACTTTCTTTCGACAGATATTTTACTTCATTGGATTTGGACTGTTCTGCCTTGAATCACTACTCAGCGTTGTTGTCATCCAGGTGAGTTTTATAAAACTTGATCTTAGCCAAAGCCAAATAGTAACACCTTGGTGTCTGTTCAGCAACACTCCTTCATTCTGCCGTTCATCATCATGCGTCATGCTGTGCCTTCAGAATATATACATTTCTATTTGCATTGATGTCTCCACTCCCAACTAGAATGTGCTGTCCCCTAAGATTTTGTTCTTGTTGCAATAAAATTTCCGCTGCAATGCTGTCTTCATTTTCTCCTGGGAGATGTCATTCTGAACTTGGCCGTTTGAAATGCAGCAAGTATACATGTATTTCCGTGGAAGTGGGAAGGCTGCTGAGATGAAACGTGAGGCAGCTCGTGGTGCTATGAGATCGGCCTTTTGATAGAGCTGCTTCGATGGACGGGAGAGAATAGGATGTGTCGTTCTGTGGTGGCGCCTTGTACATCCCTACACCTATGTTGTTCGTATCTAAGTTATTCCATTTTACAGCAGCATATAGCTAAAGGATTTTCCTGCCTTAATGTAATATATGTTCACTGGGGCCTTTTATGGATACCTCAAGAGCTTTTTACCTAGGTTCAGATGTGCCTATAGTTAATGTTTTCCTTTTGAAATCCTGCATGATCACAATGGTTCCTAGGGCCGTATTGATTCTTTGTGGCAGGAAACAGTTTGGTTTACTAACTATTTTTCTTCTTTGTTAATATATAAATATTAAGAATAAATCCCTGAAATACATCAGAAATGACAGTACATATTGAAGGACTCTGTTCAAGGCCTAAAACTAGCTTATTATCCTATGAAACATAAGCATCTTATTGCATTTCATTAACTAGCTCGGTACAGCAAAGCTCAGAGACTATAGGATCAAAATTGAAGGGATTAGTACTTGTACTGATTTCATACTTGGGTTAGGCAGGAAGCAGGCAGGGCGTGAGGCGCCTCTCATTTGCTGCTCATGGTGGGCTGCGCTTGCTGCACCTTGGTCCCGAACCTGCACTTCCTGGTGAGGAGGCTCCACGATCTCCTCGGCTTCCCCAGCCGCCGGATCTCCTGCTTCATGCTCATGCACTCCTTCTCCAGCTCCGACACCCTCGCCTTCACGTCGGTGATGGCCTCGGCGGGGAGCTCCTTCCCCTTCCCCTCGTCGGCCTCCGCGTCGGCGTCGGACTGCCCGGCCGCCGCCGCGCCCTTAGGCACGATGGCGCTGCCCCCCGGGTGCGGCTGCGGAGCGCCGTCGCCGCCCGCCGCCGCGTTGCCGGACACGAAGAACCAGCCTGCGATGGACGTGCGGAGGCGGAGCTGCTCGAAGAAGAGCACCTGCACCACCACCCGCAGCGGCAGGCGCTCGTTCTGCGCCGCGTGCGTGCACGCCTCCAGCGACAGCTTCTGGCAGTTCATCAGCCTGCACAGCTGCTCCCTCTCCGACTCCGACAGCCACGGGTGCGACTGCGTGCATGGACGCCGTATCATCATCGTACGTGTGTTGATCACGAGATGAAATCGAAATGCAATGCAGCTAGCTAGATAGAGCGACGTGTGTGATCACCTTGAGGTATATGTCCATGGCGCGGTAGATGCCGTCGTCGACGGGGCGCGCGTAGTCGGGTACGACGGCGGCGAGCGCCTGGAACTTGGGCAGCTTGAGGTTGGTGTCGGGCGCCACCTCGGCAAGGTACCCGTCCATGAGCTTGGCAACCATGGTGATCGGCGACAGCGACGAGGGGCTCCCGGCATGGAGCGCCCCAAGCTGGCTGCCCTCCTCCACCACCGCCGGCGACGTGTACCCGGTCCCGAGCCCGTCCGTGGACGACATGAAGTAGTCCAGTATCCTCTGCACGCAGTCGATGTCGTAGAGCGTCTCGACGGTGTAGCCGAGGTTTGGGACGAGCAGGTCGTCGAGGCAGGCGTCCTCCAGCTGCGCGCCGATCCGCCGTTCCAGGTTCTCCCGGCACAGCGGGCTGGCGTGGAGGAGCATCGCCGTGCGGAGCATCCCGAGCAGGAACCTGGTGGAGGCGACGCCCTTCTTCGCCGGCAGCAGCGCCACGATCTCCTCCAGGAAGTACCTCTGGTCGCCCTCCGACGGCGCCGACACGTTGGCGGCGCGCGGCGTGATGCTGCGGCTGCCGGCGCCGCAGTCGCCGCCGAAGCTGGCGTTGCTGAAGCTGGTGTTCCGCTTCAGCCCGGGCAGGAACCGCCCCGCGTAGAACATGATCGCGCCGGCGATGCTCTCGGGGCGCATCCCCTTCCCCTCCATCGCCTGGATCAGTCGCTTGAACATGGGCAGGCTCAGGAACGACACGTCCTCGTACCACCAGTCCATCCCGGAGCACCCCGCCGCCGCGCCCGCTGCGCCGCCCCCGCCCCGTGGCGTGCCCCCCGAGCCGATGCCATTCCACAGCGCGTCGTAGCTGGCATTCTTGGCGGCCACGGCCACGGCGGAGGCGGAGGCGGCGGCGTGGCCGGTGGAACACGCGGCGGCGTCGGAGGCGCAGGCCTTGGAGGCGAGCGCGGTGATGCAGCGGGAGACGATGTGGAGGTCCTCGGCGGTGGGGAGCACGCCCTCGCATGTCTCGAGCGCCTTGATGGAGTCCTTCCAGTTGGCGAGCACGTCGGCGAGGAAGGACTCCGCCTGCGTGATGAGGTTGCCCTCGGCGTAGTCGTCGGTCATCCGCAGGTACTCGGCGGCGCACCGGAGGCACACCACGTTGTGCGCGTTGAGCTCGATCTTGACGTCGTAGCAGAACCTCGCCGCCAGCTCGAACGCCTTGGCGCCCCCCGGGATGTCGTCCAGCTGCAGCGTGCACATGCCTCCGCCGCCGCCGCCGTCCTCCTGCGGCGCTTGGTACTCGCTGATCATCCGCTGCAGCACACCGCTCCGGCTCAGCAGCGGGAACTGCTACACGTCAGCTCGACCAGGCCAGCTCAATGCAATTCAAGATATTTTAATTCACGGTGATTAGTTTAGAGAATAATTGCGCTAACCTTGTGGAGGTAAAATGACATTTCTCCTACTTCCACGACGACATCACTCTCCAGCTCCGTCATGCATCTCCTGGCGATTGACAAGATTAAGATTAAGCATGTATTTGGAATTGACGTGTATAGATTAGCAATGAGGGATAATCTGAATCGACCTAGTATGTGCATGGGAGTTTAGGACGTGAATGTGTTATATCAAACAGAATGTAAGCGTTTGGAATTGACGTGTATAGATTAGCAATGAGGGATAATCTGAATCGACCTATGTGCGTGCATGGGAGTTTGGGACGTGAATGTGTTATATCAAACAGATGAACATACTGTGCCATGAAAGATTTCCAGCCGATTTGCCAGTGAACAACATGGATCAGAGGTTGGGAATGACATAGTTCATGCGTGAAACTCAATCTGTTGTTACGTTACGGTGCAGAAATTAATTTGATTGTGTTTTACATTGTTTGAGAACCTACGCATCTCCATACAATCTGTCACAGAAGTACCCATGGTTTTAAAGCACTAGTTGACATACTGATTACTGATATGGTTAGTAAATGAACATCAACTATCAGATCTCTTAAACTCAACATATGATAGAGATCCTTTAAGAGAATTCTGAACTAGAAAAAAAAATAAATTCAACATACAGAAAATTAACACAACAGAAAGAAACGAGGAATTCAGGATAACCATGTGAGGCCTTCCAGAACAAAGATTTCCGGCTTGGAGCCCAACTTCATAGTCGCCATCGTCTTCTTCCTTCTCCCAGTTATTCTACACGTCGATCTGTACTGTAACTGTCAAACTGGAACAAGATGCCGACGAGATCTGCCTGCTACGCAGTTATGTTTAGGAGAAAACGGAAGCCTTGGAAATTAAGCGATGACGTATTTAAAGGAGAAGATGGCAGGTTGCTGTGCTATGCTTGTGCATGCATCACTCGCTGCTGAGGCTGCATGCATGCAGGCAGAGAGACAGGGTAAGGGCGAAGGAAAGCCGCATAGCCAGTTCAAAGGATAGCCCGGGTCCAAAGGTGAGCTGAGAAATCTGCACGAACAGAGCTAATCTCTCTGCCACTCTCTGACAGGTGGGGCCCATATTCCTCTTACTCATGTCATGGGGCCCACTAGCCGGTGGCTGGTGTGATAGGGATACTGGCAGCTGGCTTGGCTTGGTTAAACAGAACTGCACAGGTCGTTGTTTAACTGTGGTTTGTGGTTTGCTAAGTCCCAGTGTCCCACTGGTCAGGCAATTGCAATCGGATGCATTTTTGGTTAACTTTTCGCTGGAGATCATACAACTATCTATCTATCTGTCTTCCTGTCTATCTATTTATATATTCTGTCTTAAAATATAGATATTTTGAACGGATAAAACACATCCTACTATTTTAAAATCACTTATATTTTACGACAGAGAGACTACTAAAAATTTATTAAACTTTCTACAAACGCTCTCGAGCTGCTACGCGACACCCTATAAATACATCTAAGTCAATACGTGATACTCTAATAAAGTATATCACTATATCTATTTTACCAAACCAAAACCTCCCACCATCCCCACCTCCTTGCGGCATGTGCACGCACGCAAGTACCGACTGTTGTACGCACCCTCCGTTCCTTTCTCCGTTTTTTTATCCATATCATAATTAAAATTAAAATTATCTTTATAGGAAAAAAATCCCACAAGTAGACATCATACGTGTTAAAGTCCATTAAACATTCTATAAATGTTTCTAAACCGTTATATGGCGGTCTTAAGTCAAAGAAATATCCAATCATTGGTTTCTAGACACATAATTTTACGTCATTATTAGATCTATTTTTTTAAAGAAAAATCTCAACCTTCTTCCCTTCCTCCCCATCCCTGTGGGCGTTAAAGTACATAAATGCTCTTATAAGTTGCTTGTACTTGTCTTGCTTAAATAATTTCTCACAAACGGATCTAGCTATCAGGTCTAGCTAGTTGTCCCTGTGTCTCTTATGATCTATTTGAACTATTATATTTTCTATTGAAATCAATAATTTAATACAAATATTGACTATATTTAAATGCTAATAGAAAAATTATATTCTGGACCCATATATGTATTGAGGCGTCCACTAAATAAAAGAAACTACTAAAATTTCTCACTAAAAATCAAAATATCCCACATGATTTTTTTATACAATTGGTTGACCTATTACTTATATCCCATTAGACATCTAACGATTTTCTATCAACTTAATTAATTTATTTCTCAATATGTATATAGGAGCTATTTACCCATACAATTTGATATTGATGCTTTTATCAATAAATGATCTTTTTAGGAGATAAATAAATAATCTTAAGATGATTATACCATCTAAATTATATATATGATCTATGAAGTCACTGATAAATTAAATAAAAATATTGAAATGATATTCTTTTTTTACATCATAACATGTACCCCATCTAGCATTATTTTTTATAGACAACATTTTAAAAATAAAAATGTGGCCAGTTGAATATCATACCAATCATACCAAGAACGTGGGTTGCACCAATAAATCTTAGCAGTGAAACAGACATGATGTGGCCTCGGCAATATATAAGTCAATTCCTGATAGGAATTAAAAGACCATATCCATTTATTTCTTTTTGGTAAAACTTGCTATGGTACATCGTAAGTTCCTCACATTTAGCATTGAATAATATAGAAATGTATATTTGTTACATGACACTTCAGTTTAGTGGTAATTTGCTAAAAAAATACTACAACCTCTATTTTATTTTTCCTTACTTAATTAGAGAGATAATTTAGAATGGACATATTTATCCTATGTTGGGTTGTAGGCTTAACCCACTTATATTTTTATCTTCAATTATAGAGATCAAATCATTTCAAGGATGTTTCATAGAGTGGAATTCTCCATTTTCTTAAAAAATGAAGATGAAAAGAATGAAAACTGTTGGGTTTTAAACCCATTCTAAATAGAAATTTTCAAACATTTTATTAGCATGACTAATAGAATGAACATATCTAAAATTTCAAACATAATATAACAAAAACAAATTGGACTTTCATAGGAAAAAGATCTATTTTTTTGACACAAGTTTCTCATAAATTAAAAATTATGCGATTTAAAGTGATTTTAGTTTAGAATTTATATGCTGCGAAGGTAATTGAAAAAAAATCATAACAGCTGATCAAAGCACATTAAATAAATTTAATTTTGTTCATGATATAGTAAAAGAAATATTTTTACTAGAAAGACATCCTCACATGGGCATTCGTAAAAAAATTTTCACACATTAATGAGCGGGCACCTTCCTGTTAGGAGAGAGAGGTTCAGATAGTCGTTGTAGCTAGTTGTAGTGGTGTACGCTTGTACAGTTGTACCATTAGACCCTGACGGTCCCTCCATGATCACAGTTCACTACCGTGCATCTGCTAGAAAATCGCTTGGCCAGTGTCTCCCTCCGTCGCGCATGTCCAGCTAGATCCACGCATCTGAGGCTGCCGATCCATGCTGCAAGTTCAGCAGAGTCCTTGGCGCTTTAGCAGGTAACAATTGCTGGCTGGTGATCCGTATATGTATGTCGGTCCATCCGTAGTCCCGTGTGGGTGTGGCCGTACAGTACATCGATCGGTACATGTATGCTCTGCTGGCGCAGGCAGAGGCAGGCTTCAATTGTGCAACTACTGTGTGTTGCGACGCGGTGCATGGCGAGATTCCACCGCACCGCACACCATCGATGCTGCGAGGCTGAGAGAGTGAACCGCCTTTTTTATGACAACTTTTTGACGAACGCGAGAGTTTTGTCAGCCACAAACTCACCCACGTCAGCAAACTCGGCTGCATCATCTAGCCAGCCCAGACGCCACAGCTCCCGGTGCAGTACTCGTACCACTGTACTAGTATTTGATCTTGGCAGTGGCAGCTACATCCTCCATCCAAAATAAATTTATTCGTGGTTTATGTGTCCAACGTATGTGCGATTTAGGCTCTATTTTATTCAGCTTAGGATTATTATAATATGAATTATTAGAAGTAAGCTAAAACAAACAAGTAGATTATTATGCTAGATTATTATAATCTATAAAGCCAGATTACTATAATCCAATAATCTTCTCTTAAAGGAGCCTTTTCTAGATTATTGAGTGGCTAAAGACCCACTACGCTTAGATGCCTCTAATTATCTAGAGAAACAAACAACTCGTAGCTTATTTTATGTCAGGTTATTATAATCCAGCTTAGAGTAATCTGATTTAATAATCTAGATTACAATAATCTTAAGCTGAAACAAACAGGGCCTTATTATTTTTATTTTTTTTCATATAAAATAAATAGTTAAATGTTGGACATAAAAACTTATAAATAAACTTATTTGGGATGGATGTTGTAGCTAGTAGTATTGGAGCATGTAGTAGCAGACTATAAGCCAACTATAAGCACATTACAAGATAAAAGAGAAGAGACAAGAGAAGCTGACTATAGATTTGTACTCCCTCCATCCCATAATATAAGAGATTTTGAGTTTTTGTTTGTACCGTTTGACTACTCGTTTTATTAAAAAAAATTTGTGCAAATATAAAAAATAAAAGTTATGCTTAAAGTATTTTAGATAATAAAATAAAGTAAGTAAAAATAAATAAATATAATTTTATTTTTTTTAATAAGACGAGTGGTCAAAAAGTGTAAGTAAAAACTCAAAATCTCTTATATTATGGTACAGAGGGAGTAGCTAGCTGTAGCACGAACTCTAAGACGCAATGTGTATATGACATGTGGGATCAAATATTAATAAAGTAATATATGTTTATAACTAATTGGTGTTAATTAATTGGTGTATAAATTGACTATAAATGATTTATAGGTACAGTGGCTGACAGGCGAGCGAATCTCTTGCTGGATCCACCGTGCCTCCTGTCACATCCGTCGCGTGCCTTCCACTGCTCAAGTAGTACGTGGTGGTTACCCCGGAGCCCGGACGCGCGCCCTCCACTGTAGTTGCACAGCAGGAAGAGCCGGCGTTAACACTGTGTACTCGGTACTAACCGCTTTTTGTTCCGTCTTATACGCGAAACCAACCTACTAGTACTGGAGTACTAGTCTCTGCTCTGGCGTCTCTGAGCCGGTGAGCCACATCGTACAGTACATGGCACGTCTCTGAGCTGGTGAACCATCGTACAGCGCGTCCGTACGCACCAGGGTTGAGACACACCGGCCAGTACGAAGCCGGTGTCGCTTCATCACTCGTGCAGGACACCGGCCTCGGGAGACGCCGTCGCTTCACCCCCACCGCTCGCGGACAAGCGACAAGTTGACAAGGGCAAACTCCCGCGGCCGCTCTCTGCGCCGGCTCTCTGGGCCACCAGCCGCGCGCAGCAGTGGAGAGAGCGCGAACACCAACCAATCCACAGCGGAAAGGCAGCAGAGACGTGGGGGTCGCGCGACGTATGACAGACAGACGCCTAGTGCGCAACAGCGCGAGGCCGCGGCCGCGGCCGCGCGAATGATCCCGCGGCGCGCGCGCCGCGCGCGGCAGCCACGACCGCCGCCTCATTGGCGCCGCGTGGGTGGTGTGACGTGCCCTGCAACCAGCGCTGCCGCGGTAGGGGGACCCCGAATAATATCGCCATCACTGGACAACATCCCCATGCTACGTGCGCATGCCGCTCGCGACATTTCTACCAAAGCTCACGGAGCGCATCCATCCAAGCGATCCATCGCGAGCTCAAGCATTTTAGTAGGGTGTATTTGGTTTCCGGTCAAGGTTGGATGGGATATGATGGTCTATATTTTACTGGATATGGCGATCCAGTTTTTTGTTTGGTGGAGTGAATACGGCGATCCAGTTTTTTTAGTTGTAGGGATGAAAGTGGATATGGTGATCCATTTTTTTTTTGGTTGGAGTGGGATGGATGAGTGGTTGCAATCACCCTTTCATTACAGGTGGTGAGTATACCCCTCCAAATTCTCACCCAACAAATATCAATCTACTAAAAAAATCTAAATAGAAATAAAAAAGCAGAAAGAAATAAAAGGGGAAGGAGAAAAAAAATGCCTTCTCGAAATCGCCGGTCGCCGCTCGCCTCCTCTCGCTGGCAACCCCACCGCCGCGCTTCCTCTCTCCCCCGCCGCCTCGTATCCTCTCCCCGGCCGCCGCCGCTCGCCCTCTCTCCTTGGACGCCGCCGCTCGCCCTCTCTCGCCGGCGCCCCCCTAGATCCGGTTGTCGCCGGCTCACCTCCTCTCTCGTCGCCGGCTCGCCCTAGCCGCCGCCGCCGCCGAGCTCGCCTCCACGGTCGTCGCCTTGCCTAGCCGCCGAGCTCGCCTCGTGGTGAGAGGGGTGACGCGACCCACATGTCGCTCACCCCTACTCGCCCGAGCGCTCGGGCGGCTGCATCCGGCCAATTCGGCCGGATCCCCCCATCCGGCATCTGGGGGGAATATTCCTCCCCGGGCCGCCCCATCCCACCCCTGCCCAGGAACCAAACACCCACAAAAAATGGGCCGCCATATCCTATCTACCCATATCCCTCCATCCAAAACACACCCTTAGACGCCGAAACCCCCTTGCATTGCATTGCATACAAAGATTCAACCAATGGCAACCGATTCACTTCCCCAGCAATGTACTAAAATGAACATGAATAGAATTTTGGTAAATTATATGAAGCAAAAATCGGCCGGCTTTCCCCGGTACTAGTTGTTGTCTATGGGAAGAAGCTAGTCAAAGAACATCTCAGTTCTCAGAATAGGAGGCCCCCCCCAGTGAAGCCGGGGAATCATTGGACCTGGGGGGTTTGACTAAAAAACATCTGGGTCTGCAAGGGTATATCGACCATGCTGGTGTTTCATCCTACCATGTCCCATGGTGGTGTTTCATGCATTGTTTCATCCTCCTACTCCTTGGAGTTATGGTAGAAGTCGACGCAGGTCTGGCACCCGCAGTCGGTGAAGCGGCAGATCTCGCACCCGAAGCACACGCACTTCACGCAGCCGGTGCACGACGTGGAGCGGGAGCAGCCTCTCAGCACCTTGCGGCTCGCGCGCTCCTCCTCATCGCCGCAGGTGACCCTGGTGGGATCAATCAAGGTTATATATATATGCAAATGTACACAAGAACAAAGCAAATATATGAAATATGGAAAACCAAGAAATGTCAAACTGAGGATGGAAGGAACACAGAACAGGTAACGGTGCATAAAAGTACACTACTGGTCACTAGGCAAAGCAATGCTTCTTTTTTAAAGGAAAATTTAATGTAAACATTGCAGCCAAATTTAGAATGCATGTACTCATGTTACTGAAGGAACAGCACCCTTCAGCGATCCTAGAAAATTTTCCCTACATGCTACTGAATGCTACAGGGATACAGTACTGAATGTGTCCTGTGGCTACAGGCCGCATGAGTACATGACCCTGCAGAGATCTGGAAGTGTTTGGCGAGAAACTTGCATAGCAACAGTTCCAACAGACGGCACTACAGGGCAGCAGTTTCGACTTTGCTACTCCCACAGTAGATAGTAGAAAACCAAAGACATAGTACTAAACTACTAATACGTTAACTGTAAAGCATTAGTAGTTTCCTACAATTGCAGTTTGATCATGCAGACACTGTAGGGCATTTATGGGCTAAATTCCCCTCCTTTTCTCTGTTTCATATTATAGACGTTTTATTTTTTTTTTTCAAATCAAACTTCTTGAACTTTGACCAATTATATATACTCCCTCTATCTACTTTTGATAAGCATATTTCCAAATCTGAAAAAATTATTTTTAATAGGTATATTTCAATCCAACAATATATCATCTTAATGACTTTCTTGGATTTAATGCATGACTCTACATTCTTCCACACAAGATTAGCTACATGAGCATCGAGAAATATAAATATTATTGAATCACTTGTTTACGAGGAATAACTAGTAGCATGTTTAGATGGATGATAAGTAGAATTAGATGAAATATGACTATCAAAAGTAAATGGAGAGAGTAAAATTTAGCATCATCTACAATACCAAATTAGTTTCATTAAATCTAACATCGAATATATTTTGATAGTAAGTTAGTTTTGTGTTAAAAATGTTATGTTTTTCTATAAACTTGATCAAACTAGAAGAAGCTTAACTTAGAAAAAAGTCAAAGTGTCTTATAATATACAGATAATTACCAACTACTCCATCCGTCCCAAAAAAAACTTAACCTAGGAGGGGATGTGACCTTTCCTAGGACAATGAATTTGGACTACCCTTTGTCCTAGGAGGGGATGGGGTCACATCCCCTCCTAAGTTGAGTTTTTTTGGGAGATAGAGGGAGTATGTGCACAATTTTGTTGTGCAAAACATTGATTAAGGTAATTAGCATAAATATTTCGCAGTGCATCAATAATTCATAGTTGTTATATTGCAGGCTTGAAACAGGCAGCTACCAGAGACGCTAATACCAATCATGGTCATGGTAGAGAGAACTAGAGATACATGGGCTGCCATCTTGGATTGCAAAGCCTGCGGCTGGAGTGCTGGATTTTCATTAACTTGTGTCACTATCATTGTTATGGCTACCAGTTGAGAAACTCAGAAAAGTAACATGCATATGGACACTAAGTGTACTCCAGCAATCAAAGGGTATGCGCACCACCAATATTTAGTTCACGTGTCAATTTCATCAACTAACAAAGCACAGAAATATAAGAAAACTAGCAATTATGTCAATGTGTTCTTTTTTTTTAAAAAAAAAGGATGGACATGTAAAGCAAAAAATAATAATAAAATAAAATAGCACAACTGTAGCAGCTGTTCTCCAATAATAACACTTAACAAGAAGTATCCGCAATACCACTAACAAAAAGAAAAACGATAAGAACCCGACAGTAGGTTGGCATGAACTTTGGAACAATGACATGAACATATCATATATCTCGGCAAACAGTATAGCTTGATATTAGCAAGCTAGACTGTTAACTAACACAAGCGGTGACAGTACATACCTATCAGTTGTCAAATCAGCACATGTCCAGTTAGGTTTAGCAAGAGCATCATGGTAAATACGGCACTCTTCTTTAGACCGGAGCCGAAACCTCCTCTCCTTGCCACATTCCGTACAGTGAATAAACTCATCTCGGTGTGACAGGCGACCATTACGGCCTTTGTTAGAACCATTAGCAGATTTGTGAGACAGCGAGTAGTATTTCAGCAGAGCTGTCTTTGACAATGGAACCTTCTCTCCTTGAACCATGACCCACACAGTATTCCTCCACTTTCCAGCAGTCTCCCTTCCAGAGTGTTTCTCAAAGGCAGAAGGCGTCAACTTGTCTGCAAATTTCAACTTACAAAACTTAAATGGCAGTTATGCGCTTAAAAAGCATGATAATAGTTGCAACTGGCATATATTACCAAGATTTTGTACAATGCTTGTAATAGTACTATACTAGTACAAAGATATTACTTGCATTTGGATACAGTCAGAAGATAGAGAAATATGACAACAAAGCGATGCCATGTACAACATGTAACTGGAAACAGATTTTCCCAAAAGAATAAAGTAAAAGCAAGTACTGCAAAGTTAACTTGGAAATACATGCATCTACAACATCCTTTACTTAAATAGTTAAATCAATATAGTTGCATGCAAACCTAGAGCAATAGCATGCTGAACAAAGAAATTCCCAGCTATATATAGATAACCCCACAGTGCATGCTCCCAGATAAATGGGCATGCTAATAATGCTTGAAGGCCTTCATTATAAATTATCACAAAAAAAAAAAGAACTGCATATTTTAATCTAGACAATTTTTCTTTGTTATATCACACTTATATCTAGATTTCATAATCCTTGAAAACTGAAAGGTGCAGTGGTACATAAGTTACAAGATGGGGTAGTCATAAGTTGTTGCTATATTTAGCTTTGCCTATGATATTATCACTTCACACATCTCTGCAGTTACATGGGTGAACCATGCTAGAACAAGTACAAACCACATTTGATTAAAGCAAGACTATCTTGGTTCATGTATTAAATATGTTAAAAACAAATATTGTGTGTACCTACATACCATTGCAATCAACACTCTGGGGACCATTCAAGGAGGAGTATAATGTATTGTAAAATCCACAGTGATAGCACTGATGTTATATGCCTCAACTAAATATACTTGCAGCACAGTACGGACACACACTGAAATACAGACATCGGGGATAGAGAAACTGAATGCAGCATCTACAGCTTTCGGAAACAAAAAAAATATAGCCACCAGGTAACAACATTAGAACAGAGACAACACAACAGTAAGTTTTCCATTCCGCTCTCATCAAACGCAAGCATCCTATGTTGGAGTCAAGATCGCAATTATCAATTTCACACATTTGCATAAGAGAGCAGCATGCAACTACAAACCAGAACATGGCCCAAGCTAGCTCTCACACGAAAGAAAACCTCATACTAAACAGAGACGTAGCAATGTAATGTGAGTGATTGAACACAGCCACTGAACAGAGGGGAACCTCATCATCCCCAGCATGCAGGGAGTACACAATGTCAAAATTCAACTTACGTGCATTAGGTACCACAGAAGAAGAGGAACCTAATGGTCCTAAACCAAAGGTAAGATGCAGGCGATATTACGCTCAGATACATCATGGACATGTCTAAAAAAAAAGATACATCATGAACATGCAGATTGCAGAAAAGGGGATGATTTAATTGCCGAAATCGACAGTCCCGCGAGCCAGACTAGCAATGCATGGGCAGGAGCATGGTACAAAGTACAAGAAACAGGCGACGCTGGGCGCAGGCAGCGGCGAGGCGCATGAGCCGGCATTGCATGCAGGTCCAGTCATGGGAGCAAGACGCCACAACCAAAGAGATCAAACACCACCCGTGCACCGACGCGCGCGCTGACATGAAATCAAGAACAACGAGACAAACAAGCAAGCAAGCAAAAAGGACGTGGTGTACTGATGATGCACAGTGGCGAGCACGGACCTTCGCGACACCCGGGCGTGCACTCGCAGCTGACCTCGAGGTCGCCGGAAGCGTAGACGCGGAGGCGGCCCACGGCGTCGCCGTAGCGGTGGCTGGTGCACCCGCACGTCACCTCCACGAAATCCTCGCACCGGCGCACCCCGCTGACGTCCCGCAGCTCCTCCTCGCTGAACAGCGCCGCGCCACCTCCGTTCGCCGCCGCAGCCATGCCTCCAACCAAGAACAGCAAACACACCGCAACAACTCAAAATAAAACAAGCGCCAGACAGCGATCTGGCCTGCGTCAAATCAACAAGCGACTAAGCAACGATCAAATGCCGAGACGGGGGATGCCGAAAACCGGTGGATGGATCGAAGTAAAACAAAGTTAGGCAGGCGCGCAGGCGTATGTGAACAAGATAGTCAGAGAGATAGATATATAGGGAGAGGAGCGGCGCGGGAGCGAGCGGTGGGGGGAAACAGGAGCCAAAGCGGCGCCTTTCCACACAAGGAGAAGTGAGAACCGCGAGCGAATTGGGTTCCCACTTCCCACCAAATCTTGACGAGGGCGATCTCCCAAGGGGCCAAAAGAATAAATGCAAAGGCGGCTCCTTTTTTTTCCTTGCGGGGATATGTGATCCCAGGCCAGGAACAACGAGCAGAGAAGGCAGCAGGAGCTTCGCAAAGGCGGCTCCTTTCTGCGATTTGGGAGGGCTTTCTTTGCTCCTCCAAATCGCCCGAAGAAACGATCCAAAAAAGATGGATCTGGGGAAGCGACCACGCCGGATTCAAGAATGCCTCAACGCCGCCAGCACCCCCAGCTGCTGCCTATAGCTATGGAGGGTTTGGAGAGGGAGAGGGGGAGACTGGTGGAGGCGGAGAGAGAGAAGAGAGGAGAGTAGGGGAAGAGGAGAGGATAGGAGGCGGAGCCAAGAGCTGCCGAGACGAAAGCTTGATGGTTGCGCTTGGTGCTGGGCTTTTTAACCTATAGACGGATGGGGGGATGGTGATGTCCTGTGTTTGTTGTGTGACCTTGTTTTTTGCGTTTCTTCTCTGCAAGACCCTTCAAACTTTCTCGTTATTACTACGCTTCCACTAGTACTACTGTCTTTTTCTTGATTCCCAACAAGATAGAGAATGGCCATATCAAAACCTATGCGGATGGTTGGTTGTTGGTGAGAGTTAATTGCTGCGGTCGTGGTGATTAGATGGAAGGCTTGTTTGAGCTGCTACTAAAGGACTTGAAATGTATTTTTACAGTTGAGCTTTATATTTTTCTTTAAGATACAGCTGAGTTTCTTTTAAGTCCAAGTGTTATAACTAAAGTAACTACAAAAATTATTTTATAGTTGTGCATAAGAAAGAATGCGAGATACATGCTACCAGTAATATTCACTAGCGGAGGTGATTCAATTGCAAAAAATTTGTTGGCTGGTAAACCTACTACTTATGGTGACATATGATGGTTTTGGTAACTACTCGTTGTAACAACTCAACCATATCAAGGTATTGACGGTTAAACCTCTTACACCACTATAGAGTAATATGTGGTGGAACAGCCTGTAAAGAACGAAAACTTGCGGTGACAGGTGTTCTTTCGCTGGCATTAAAACATTATATTTTAGTAAAAACAAAATTTAATAAAAATAATTGGATACCACAAATAACACTACTACAAATATATATAGACTCATGAGCGACCTAAGATCCCGCAACTCCGGACGCCTACTTGCGCTCACCAATGACCCATTCATAGCACTATAAATCATTATGTTCGTGATTGTTTGCATATATTATTTTGTGAGCTCTATAACAATTTGTATGACAAAACTTACTACCAATAAAACCTAACCGAATAATTCTGCATATATTATAGGCCACCTAAGGATTAGAAAAGCCACATGGAAAAAAACAGGTGAGACCTCTATACCCGGTTTTACTATCACACCATAAATGTTTTCTCTATATTAAAGTCCTGATACATATAATTCTAATGAAGTATTTCTACTATATCTATTTTTTTCAAGGAATAACATAACCTCTATACTCGGTTTTACTATCACACCATAAATGTTTTCTCTATATTAAAGTCCTGGTACATATAATTCTAATGAAGTATTTCTACGATATCTATTTTTTTTCAAGGAATAACATAAGATATCTCTTATCATGATTGATGGAGCTCCCTCAGGGAAGGAAAAAAATAGTTTGCTATTGGTATTGGATTATTTTTGTGGGTAGGGCCAGTTACTCTATCTGGTCTAATTCTTTATTCTTTGAAGTTTCTCTATTTTTTAAGCAAAGCCGATGCACTTCTCTATGACAATGAGCTTTTGCATATTTTATTTAGCTAAGTTTTCGTGGATCCATGCACGAGACATCACGTTCAGATTCCACTCTCCAAAATGCAGGACTAAATACACACTCGAACTCCGAAATAATGTGCGATGCCAATGTGTTTTCCACGAAATAAAAATTAAAGAAATATCCTACGGTACATCGTCAAGAAAATTAGTATAATATACTCCATCTATTTAAAGTTAATTTCTGTTCTAGGTTATCGTAAATCAAACAATTCTATTTTTATCATCATATTTTAAAAATTTGTATAGTTAAACATCAGAATGATATATTATGAAAATATATCTCCTGATGAATCTAAAAACATACTCCCTCCATTTAAAATATATAGCAACTTTTAACATTCAAATATATTACAAATATAGCAACTTTCCCATCTATGTTCTCTTCTCAACCAATCGCATTCATTCCCTCATTTAATTTCTCCATCAACTTTTTTTCTAAACAATCACAACTTTCTCTAGTTTAATTCATATGCATTCTTAATATTCGCATCGAATCTTTAAAGATCTTATATTTTGAGATGTGAGTAGTATATATTTTTTAGAAATTGATAGTCACAAGATATAAATATTTGAGTTATGACAAAGTTAGAAAAACAGATAATTTGAAACAGGTATTAACACTAGCGGATGTTCTAGATTCAAATCATTTTTATACAATTAATCTCACAACGTGTTCTGTAATGTGTTATATGTAACTTACTAGCATTAATTATCACAATTTTAGTGCGCGTCTTCAACGTTTTTCTTCACATAACGCAACCCTAAGCTACTGACAAAATGGATCTTTTTTTCTTTCCAAACAAGTGCTGTTATCTGGTTAATTATTTTATTTTGCCAAATCCCACTTTATTAGTCAACTTGTCATTCCGATTTTTAGCTAAAATTTTCCATCCTTGTAGTCCATGTTTTGTTGGCCAGTTATATTAGTCGAGTTATGGCTAAGGCAGCATTCCTTAGGAGAATAAAGGAAAAAATATCTCTCATTGTCCACTCGTACGCTTCTCAAATGATTAAACGGGACGTTTTTCCTAAAAAAGAATTTCTATATAAAAGTTGCTTTAAAAATCATATCAAACTATTTTTTAAGCTCAAATAATCATATGTTAATGGTTTATCTTGTTTTACGCATCTTCTCAATCTTTTCATTTCCCCTCCTTCCAAACACACCTAAGTCAAATAACCCTATGGATTTTTGTGCGCTTATATACCACTTCTACTTTTTTTTACCGAATGAACTAACCAATGTCTGGATGAATTTAGTATTATTGTTCCACTGGATAAAAGAAAATTCAATTGGAACAACTTATGTTCCAAAACCACGAATGCATTCCCGGCGCTTATGTGAAGCAAAAGGAAATAAGAAACACCACATGTATCTAGAAATATATAGTAGTACTAGTAATTACTTTGTCCTAAAATATAAAATTTAATATTAAATATGCATTTGAACAGCTATAAAATATAATGTGTAATCGTAGTTTTTTATATTTTGGAACAAAAGTAGTTTATGTTTTGGAACAAACTGCAGGGGTGAAACGCAAAAACTGCCTCTACGGCCTCCGGCCTCCGCGTCGTATCTGCGAGGACGAGGCGTGGCGGTAGGGGGAGGTCTCGGATTCCGGCTCCCGGCCTCCCTCTATGCAGTTTGCACCGCACCCGGATGCGAAACGTGGCCCGAGCCTCCGCCTACACCGACCCGCGGGGCCCTCGGTTCGTCGCGTGGGGTCCACCGAGCAGTGGCAGAATCACCGGCCGCGGGGCCCCGTCATGGGAGAAGCCGCTTTTTTTTTTTTTTTTTGGATGGGAGAAGCCGCTGATACGCTGGGTGAAGCCGTGGAGGGGGCACACGGAGAACACTCTCTCGAACCCTCCCTCGCCTGCTACAGTAAAATTCCCCTTTCTCGACCCCTCTTCCTCCTCGATTCCGGCGGCCTCGTCGCCGGTGACGGGAGGGAGAGGGGTCGTCCCCCTCCCCTAGTTTAGTATAGTAGTCGGGCTAGTCTCGTTAGGTCGGGTTTTTCCCGTTTCTCGTTTCTATGGCGATGGAAGTTGAAGACGGTGGCGGTGGCGCGATTGAGGCCGGTGACGGTGGAGGCGACAAGGTTGGCGACGGCGGCGGCGCGGATCCGGTTCGCGGCAGCGGCGGCGGCGCGGATCCAATCTGCGGCGACGGCGGTGGCGCGGACCAGCTCCGCGGCAACGGCGGCGGCTCGAACGCGGCCCGTGGCGACGGCGGCGGCGCGGATCCAGTCCGCGGCGGCGCCGGCGGCTCGGACGCTGCCCGTGGCGACGGCGGCGGCGCGGATCCAGTCCGCGGCGGCGCCGGCGGCTCGGACGCTGCCCGTGGCGACGGCGGTGGCGCGGATCCTGTCCGCGGCGGCGCCGGCGGCTCGGACGCTGCCTGTGGCGTCTGCGGCGGCGCGGATCCAGTCCGCAGCGGCGGCAGCGGCTCGGTCGCGGCCCGTGGTGACGGCGGCGTCGCCGATCCAGTCTGTAGCGGCGGCGATGGTGTGGACGCGGCCTGCGGCGACAGTGGCGGCGCGAGGGCTGTCTCCCACGTCGTTGCTTCCAGTTGCTTTCAGTTGTGTCGTTGTTTCATGGTGCAGGCCATCTCTTTCTCAGCCATCTCCATCATCTCAGCAGGACAGAAGCTGATTTGCAGCCATTCAAGTGCTTCTTCCTTGAAGGTTGGCTGTTCTTCGGATTCATCTATCCTGTTGTTCCCTAACAGAAGAAACCATGTAGGGTTTGTCATTCGGGTTGAGCTCGGACCACCTGATGAGCCCCGTGGGGATCCTTTGCTGAGTCCGGTGACGCACACACCAAAATCTACGGCTCAGCATCAAACCTCGGTCTTGTGCCGTTTCCGTGGAGGCAGCCGATGGGGATTAACGGTTTGTCAAGCGGACTGCACATCTTTTGAGGCCCAGGGTAGCAGTCGTCGCGGCTTCGCCGCAGATCCCTGTCGACTTGCTCCTTTTTCTGATGTTAGGTTATTTCAGGAAGGTTGCTTTCGTAGTTCAGTTAACCCTCCTTTCTTAAGGATGGCTCTTTTGCTTGGATATGTAATGGGGTTTATTCCCTAGATCTGTTCCTGCTTAATAAAGTTGATGTGTTTTCAAAAAAAAAAAAAAAAGCCGTGGAGTGGAGGAGAGAGGAGGCCATTTCTGGGAAAAGGGAAAAGGCCTGTGGCGCGCGGGCCCCGCGGGCGCTGAGGCTGACGAGGAGGAGGGTTGGCTGGCGGTGTGGACGTTTGTTTACGAAAGGCGCCTGCACCCGGCGTGTTGCAGCGCAGCGCAGCTGCGGCTGCAGCATATGACTCGTGTGACATCACGAGCCAGGTTGTTTTCGTCGCGTTCCTCGCATGCAGTGCAGGCTTTTGCTAGCAGCTTCCCCCGCCGTCTCGCGCACGGGAGTTTCGCCGGGCGCGCGGCCCGGCCGGCCGGCTGGCTCGATCGTCTTCTGCGCCGAGCGCCTCTCCATCCCGCGGGTTTCCGCCGGGCGAGGAGGACGCGCGCGGGGATCGTGCACGCGAGTCGCGCGCGGTGGAGTTTGCGCGGCCAAATCCCGGTAATCGTGGGTGACTCGGTGCGGGTGTGCGTGGTGATCGACTGATCCGCGCTAGGGTAGGTTGGACGTCCGCGCGCACTCGATGTGGTGTGTCACGCATTGGGGGTGTGCTTTGGTGA